TTCATATTATATATTTCTTGCAATATAGGTTTTTCCTTAATTATTATAATCAATTACTTTTTCAAATTCACAATAAGGAAAAAAAGAAATAGGACCCACAACACCACAATCCAGGTCCCTTTTTCTATGTTAAACCTCAATGAATTAACAAGCAACAAGTAAATAAAAATTAAATATCTCAATTGCAATACTCAACAAGTTTAGGGTAAGGCGGGCTATATCCTTTTCGGTAATTCAATTTGATTTTTTGTTTACAGTGATTAATAAACTTTAAGATCCCCGCCACTCAACCTGGAGTAAATTTTGGGGTTAAACATGTAACTAGAGCAAAATTTTAACGAGTTCAATTGATCTCGCATGTCAAAATTGGGTAATGTGACCACCCTCACTCAAGATTTTGATTTGCTGGTTAAGGTGCTTAATTGAAAAAGAAAAAGAATATTCAAGTGAATGCTTCTTAACATATTTTCTTCAGCTTTCACCTCTATGTGGGGACTGCAAAGTTGGCATCAAACTATTCTCTCTAATAAAAGAAGTCTAGAATTACATAAGAAACATTCAAAGCATAAATGGTGAAAGTGAAACCATGATGATGATGGCAGAGTTGGAAGCCAGACATACATGGAGAACTGTCAGAGAACAAGCACCAAAGTGACATGAGGACACCCAATTTAAAACCCACTCCTTGTTGTCAAGAAACTGATCAGCCTAGTTAAAGGCTTAAGCTGTTAGGTGAGGCCCTTGAATAGATTTTTATTCTTTAATACACATTCTTATATGAAAGTTTTTTGGGCTTGAAGTGTGGACAAATATAGGCCCATTCATACCTTGTGCTAGAATTTAATTAATTATAATAGAATAGCAAAGATTGAACGCTAGATGATTTGATCATATCATTAAATTAATCAACCAAAAAGCTTAAACTATTAGGTGAGATCCTCGAATAATTTTTTATTCTCAAACACTTGTCATAAATTGAAAGAGAATCCTCTATCTACTCCCTCACAGCTGACAAGTTCCTGTTTGGGGTGAAACTCTGAATGAGCTCAAGTTGAAGTTTTGTTAAATTCTGGAGGACCTAGTCACAGTGTAAAATCTTTAACTTGGGCACAGCGCAAGCTGTAACACAAACAGCATGAAATTCGGTCTATTATCATGGATGAGCTAAATGATCGTGCTTCCCTTTTCTTGTGGGACGAGATCTGTTACAAGCGAAGGGATGCATAGAGACCACACCCTATGTCTGTGTGTACCTATCCGGCTATCACTGTCGTATTCACTCTTGATTGATTAATAGTCCGTTGCACATGTCTTTGTTTGTACCATATCCAAGTGTTTTTTTTTTTTTACTAGATCTCTTAAACTTAGTTTTGTGTTAAGTTTTACAATAATCACTGAGAATTCAATGAAATTCATGGGGTGGTTTTGATTGATAATATGATACCCGAATATCTTTTTTTATGAGCCTGATCCATCAAAACCACCCCATGAATTTTGATGACTTCTCATTGGTTAGTGTACAACTTAGCAATATCAACTTATTCGACTCAAAACTACTAAAACCAACAATAACCTATTGAAATCCATAATTCAATATCAACTTATTGAAATCCTTTAAACACATAATATAGGGTCTCTATATCCAAATTATGGAGGTTTCTACATTCCCAACTCCCAAGATTTAGCCTTCAAATGCAAGGCGCAACTTATAGGAAACAATTATATATATCTATCTAGACTATTTTAAAAGTACGAATGGCCTCAAGAATATTTCTGGAATTTTCTAAAGATAATGTTTATCCCTCTATATTTAAATTTAATGATAAAAAAATGAGGGAAAATAGGGTAATTGGTTCTTGATATTAAATGAGTTGAAAAGAGGTAATTTAAAGATATTCAATGCATTCAATCCTCTCTCATTAAATCCAACATTTAAGTTATTAACTTGCATTCATGTTCATTAAATCATATATTTAAGTCATTTTTATTTCTTCTCATCATTAAGTTCTATTAATTAAATCCACAATATTAATTTTAATAGTATAAAAATAAATATTATGAAAAATAATTTGAAAACAAAACCATTTTCTTCCCTCCTAGTGGTGGGCAAGCAATTTGACCATTTGGGGTCAAATAGATTAGTAAATAATGCCATATTTAAATGATAAAAAATTAAAATAAATAATTATAAAATATAAGAAGTATTTTTATTAATGATGAAAATGGAAAGCCAAATTCAAAATGTACCTAGAAATTAAATGATGTCATAGTCAAATAATAAATTTTTTAACAATAGAAAATACAAAGAATCACAAAAGTAAAAAAAAAAAAAGATAAGAGAAAATTTTGGGTACATATCTAATATTATATATTTATAAAAAATAAAATATTAGGTACATCTCTAATATTTTACATTCATTATATTGAACAAAAATAAGTTTTATACATAAGAAATAATTTTATCAACGATGGAAATGTAATACAAAATTTAATATCAACCTAGAAATCAAACAATTTTTATTTTTAGATGGTGGGTTAGTGGTTTGAGTAAAATGATACTATAGACAAACAAAAATTAAGTGTGATAAGTAAAAAAATATTTTATATAGTGTAAATAAAATATATAATTTAAAGGGAAAATTATAGTCAAAGTCAGTTGTACATTTAAAAGTTGCAGGTTGGTTCAGAAACCAACCAAACTCTGAAAACTGACTATACATTTCAAATTATAAAAACCCCCGCCATATCATCAGAGACTTATGTGGCTGTTGCTATCATGGGACTCTTATTCCATGTTGGACACAGTAGAAAACCTATATCGAAAATAGGTTTTTGGTTTCTCTCCCACTCCCTCTGTCTCTCGATTTCCCTTCCTTCTCTCTCACTCTCATAGTCATCTCTTGATCTCCTGCTCTCTCTATCTCTCCCACTCTCTACTACTTCAGTCTGTAACCAAATCAAAACCTCTCTCTCTATATATATTGTTTTCCCTCAATCTTTCTCATTCTTCTCCCTCACTCTCCCTCTCGGTCAAAATCTCTTTCTCCCTCAATCCCTATCGTTCTCCAATTGGTGTAAATTTCATAGCCAAGAGTTTCTTGTGAATTTTATCAAATTGGTGTAATAATTTTTGAACCATACCAAGTTGGTCTCATGTTCTTTTATACGATCTGATTAATACCATATAAGTGTGTAAGAAAATAAGAAAATAAGAAAATAAAAAATGAGAGAGGGAGAGGGAGAGAAACTGAGGGAGAACGATAGAAATTAAGGGAGAATGAGAGATTGATGGAGAACGATAGGTGGAGAGAGAGAATGAGAAAAATTGAAATAAAGAACATAAATATAGAAACCAAAAAACATTTTTATTTATTTTCAAATTACATAGTCGTTGAGCCGCAGATAAAGATGACTATGAGTGAAAGAGTGTGAGGGAGAGAGAGAGAGAGAGAGAGAGAGAGAAACTGAAAACCTTTTTTTCTTTTCCAATCACCCAACATTAAAGGGCAATTTCAGTATAAGCTTTTTATTATGTCCAATATGGATTAAGAGTCCCATGTTGGCAATAGCCACATAACCCTCCGATGACATGGCAAGGGTTTCTATAACTTGAAATGTAGAGCCGTTTGTTAGGATTTTGTTGGTTTATGGACCAACTTGTAACCAAATATTAAATGTACAGCCGGCTCCGACTATAATTTTCCTTAATTTAAAACTAATCCAAAAGCAATGCTATTTCTTATCTAGATAGTGGGTCAATGATCCAACTTTTCAAAAAAAAAATGCTTGATGTCATAATTGAATAATAAATATTTAAGTTTATTTTTAATCATATTGTTACTTTTTTAATTTTCAATTTCTATTTTAATTATAATATATCTAAAATTAAAGTAATTAATATGAAGAAAATTTTCTCACGTGCAACGCATGTGCTTAATTACTAGTTAAATAAAGTGTAGGAGTCCCAACTCCCAATCCTAAGTGGTGTATCCTTATTTACACTCCTATTATTACTAAATTTACATATCATATACTATATTTTAGTCCTACACTCGTACTTGTTTAAAGCCTCTCGTTTATAGGGAATTTGTCAATTAGCTTAATTTTATATTTAATCCTTCAGTAGTTTCATTAGTTAAAACTATGTCATCTGCAAACAAATGCACTATGGAGTTTTTTCTTGAACATGTTTAATCAATTCATCTATGGTCAATGCAAATAGATAAGGGAAGTGTTGAACCTTGGCAAATGCTCATTGTAAATAATGTTTAAGGGATAAACCGTCAATTGACCCTACAACTGCCAAGGCCAAAATTGAGTTTAATTTGAAAAATGCAATTAACCGAACTAGTCATTTCAATTTCACTTAACCTATTAAAAACTGTTATTATCCACAGACCCAGCCCAGCTTAGACCCGGACATGTTTTAGACCCAAAACCCAAGTTGGACTGTACCCGGGCTTGGGCATAAGTTTATAAGCCTTATCACCCCTACTAACCACTAGGGGTCTGTATAGTTCATAGTCAGAATTGAAATCAGAATGGTTTAATCGGAATGGACCATTCTGATTTCGATTATAGGCTCCTGTTCATGCGAACCAAACGAGCCCCAGGAGAAAACAGGTTTGCCTGTTGGGGTATTTACTAAAGAAAAGGGGTAATTTAGACATTTGAAGTTCATCATACGAAATCTTCATCTTAAGGTTAAGTCACATGATGGCCTGAAAGGAGCAAGTCAGGTGGATTTCAGACTTCTCTCACTTAATCGGTTGACACGTAGCACTGGTATTGTACCTTCGCATTAAATAAAGCGCCAGTTTAAGGTTTTCCCTCTCACATCTCTCCCGCTTCTTTAATTGCTTGTTTTGTGTTATTTAATTATTTAAATTACTGTTAATTTGTTAATGTTCGATGCGAGTACGAAGGAAGAACACGGCGAAAGATTTTTTAAATCACGAAACTCGAGACAGAGAAAAAAAAAAAGAGAGGATACGGGGAAACAAAAAAGGGCGCAAAGAGTTGGAAGCTCAACAGCTCTCGCACTATAAATACCTTACTAAGCTGTGAAAAGCAAAATCACTTATCTTTCTACGATTCCATTCCCCGATCCTTTCACTCTGCCATTATTTTGTTTTCTGACCTGAAATGGGGAGAGGTAGGGTTGAGCTGAAGAGGATCGAGAACAAGATCAATCGGCAGGTCACCTTTGCAAAACGAAGAAATGGTCTTTTGAAGAAAGCTTACGAGCTTTCCGTTCTTTGTGATGCTGAGGTTGCTCTGATAATCTTCTCCAATAGAGGAAAGTTGTACGAGTTCTGCAGCAGTTCGAGGTAAAACGAGGAAAAAGAAAAGATGAAATATATTTTTTTTTATGTTAGGTTCCTTCTTGCCCGTCGTTTTTTAGCGATTCCATACACGTTTAATTCTGCTTTTAGATCTAGAACGCTTGATTAGATTTTTCTTTTTTAATTTCTACTATTCCCGTGTAGTTGAGTTTATGGAAAAGAAATTTGCTTTTTTCCCTTGTTTTCTTAGCTTTCCGTTTCTATGGCTGTCTCAGCGTTTTTAGTAGGTTTCGTCGTTGTGCGGTCGTATTGCCCAGATCTGCAACTTGAAGTGGAGAAGAAAAGCAGATCGGTGACTTAATAACTATATTTTCGTTTCTAAACCTTTTAATGCTTGGAGCGCTAGATTTGTGTCGATCCTGTTGCACTCTTTATATGGTTTCATGTTTCAATGTTTCCTTTCCATGTAGGTTCACAAAAGAACATATAGAAACCATAATTTTCTTATGTTATTAAAATCAGTTTGTACGTTGATGAAGCGAAAAGGGTCGGGTTTCCCAGTTAAAAACGTCTGAAATGTTATGATCTTTACCGTTTTGTTTTGTTGACGTATCAGACAGCATAGTAGATGAAGCTTATCGAGTTAAAGAGTCTACACTAGAACTTGGAAGTGTTTTAAATATATATATATATATTTGATTCACAAGTGTTTAAATATTTTAAAAAAGATGGTTCTTTTCGTTTTTTCTTTGCATCGCTTTTATATATTTTGCTTGCACTAAAGCAACTGCTCTTGAAATTTCGTAAAAGCAAAAGGGTTTTAAAGATGAAATTTATCCGATCTGAACTCCTGCCATTTCTGTCAGGTCCTACTTCATTCCCAGGTTATCTTTACTTCCGTGTGGTTTAGTATTCCACCGAAGTAAAAAATCACCGGTCAATTAACCCTCCCGCTGGAACATCTTCCGCCTGCAATTCTCGTTCCATGGTTCTCTAGTCCATCTCTCTCTCTCTCTCTCTCTCTCTCTCTCTCCTTTAGATCTCCAACATCATGTCCTACTGGAGTTGAAGCCTATTTCACTCTCGTGCTCGCATTTTCCCCTTGAATTTGAGTTTTTTTTAATAAAACAAGTTCATTTAACAAGTAAAACTTCGACTGGTGAGAGCCAATCGCTAGGCTCCATTCAGTTGGGTCTATATATCGTTGATACATACAAAAGCAGATCTGCTACAAGCTACAGAATGAATACCTTTGATTATGAAATTTGAGCTGAGATACGACTTCAAGTTCCAACGCGTTCCTATTATTACTAATTTTATGCAGGTGAGTCATAACTATGATATGACTTCAAGTTCAAAATTTGAGCTGAGATACTCAATTGTTTTCTTTTTCGTAGTTGTATTACATATTTTCAGATTAGTTTGGGTACTTCTCGTTCTTTCTCATCAACATGGTTCTGAATCCAAGATTATGATCAAATTCTAGTTGGTGTTTATGTAACTCTCCATCTTATGCGGGTTCCTACTTCATAAAATTCCGTAAAATTTTTAAAGCCTTCGGATTTTCTTGAATTTGAGGGGCAGTATGATTACTTGTATTGATGAAGTTTCTTTTCTCATATTTGCTGCTATTGTTATTTTATGTACCTGGGAAGAAAAAGCAATAGCAAATCTAGTGCAAACAATTTTTCCTCCATTTATCAGTGGTTAAATCTCTAAAAGAATTTATTAGGAAATTGATGAAGCTTTTCTTTACATCAGTATGCGGGTGAGTGTAACTATGATATATATTGTGAATTCGATAATCATTCTGATCAGTAAAAACTAGTCTTAATCTTCTAGTATAATCATTAGTTTGTTTTAAATCTTTTTGCTAAAATTGTCTATAATCTTCAAGTTTATCTATGATGAATGAAGAGATTTTTGAGATATCATCTATAATAAGCTGATCAATGCCTTTGGCCAAGCTCTAAATTCAAACAATCAAGCAGTTTTCATTGATACCAATTGTTCCCTGAAGCCTGTTTCAAATTTTTCTATATTGGTGCAAGAAATAGGTTCACTTCAACACCCCCAAATAATGGTTCAACAATTCTGGACTTTATTTTTGGCTTCTCTCTTGTTTCTTGTAAATAATAGCTACAGCATGTAACTATGTATATATTGATAGTTTGGATTTCCTTATTTACGATGATAGGAAATATGGTCCACGTAATTGATAAATGAGGTTTGTTAAAGCCAAATATTTTTGCAAAATAAAATAGGAAGCACTTTGCTACAACTTTGCGATAGTTCTATGATTTTGTTTCATTCTACTTGCTTAGCTCATAGATCATTTCATAGAAAATGGTCAATCTATAAAATTCAAGAGAACCAAGGTGGAAGAAAAGGGATGATGGCTGAAATTTATTAGGGACTCCACAAAGAAATAGAAAGTGATCAATCTTTTATTTATTTATTTATTTTCAACTCAAATACATGCTCTACCTGTATTGCCACCCAAGAAATAGAATATAGTGTCTTGGTAGTATGAAACTGCCTTAGCTTGATGACTAAGTAATATCCCAATGAAGCAGCCGACTAGAAACAAAATGTATTATAGACTATATTCAATTTACAACTCGAAATGAATACATAGTTTTTTAGGTTCTATTCAACCTTTTTTATTAAAAAAAAATGTTACATAAATCATAGTATGACAATGAAACAAAAAAGGTGGAGTTTTAGATTCCGAAGAGACAAGGACTAAAGTTCTAAAATTATCAGGGGAATCAATTATTAAATAAATACAATGGTATTTAATGTACTATTTACTTAAAAGGCACAAATTGTCAAGAAATAATAATACTACCCAATTGGATTCACAAATGTGTCCTTGAGAAATCTACACGCTGATGCTGATTTTTGTTCAATGTAATTACTTATGTAGTTATGAGTATGTTTCTACCAATAAATTAATAACTTATTATTATTATTGTTGTTATTGAAAACATATACGCTTATGATTATTACTTGTATTGCAAATGTTGTATATAAATTATTAGAGATAGATAGGATCTTCAAGGTAACAAATTGACTTTACTATCCTCTAGAGTTCAAGGGTATGCTGAACCTCGGGGTAACACACAGAAGTAAATTTGGCCATGCATTATTAGAAAATGCTGCTTTCTAGAAACATGATGAGATGAGCTAAGGGACCAGGTTGAACCAGGTCTTTGATGCGCTACTGTTCTTGTTTTCTCATTGAATGGAGTTTGGTACGTATACTACAAAACATGAAAACTGCGCAGGTCTTCCCTTAAAAACCCTATTCAATTTTCGTCCAAGTTTGAGACGAGTTCTTTTACTTTTAATCTTTTTCTAGGGGCTTTGTTACCCGTAACCTGTAACTTCAATTTTTTGTTTTTTATTCCTATGTACTCCTTGTTTAGCAAGAAGGTCTGCCACCTATTTGCCGATCTTCTTTCCCATTGAACTGTGACTGAAATATTTGAAGTCAGCCACTTAAATCTTCTCAAAGCCCTCTTGTACGGCCAGATTGTCGTTTCTGGTTCTTTTAACCATCCAATAACCAATTTGGAATCACCTTCAATCATTAAATGCTCCACTGCCAACTCTCTTGCATATTCTGCTCCTTGTAACACAGCTYGGAGTTCTGCATTTACAGAGTCTCCCCACCCTATAGGACCAGAAAATAGAGCTACAATCTAACCCTCATCATTTCTGAAGACTCCCTCTATTCCAGATGGCCCCGGGTTGCCCAAACTACTGCCATCAAAATTTAGTTTAATGACGCCTACATCAGGAGGCTTCTAATCCTCCACTGGCTTGCTTCTGATTGTAGAACTTTTAGCTAGTTGTTCCCGATTTCTCCTTATGTCATCGAAAGTGTAGCTGGAAAACAGATCCAAGGATTTTACCCAACTTATGGCCTTACATAAGATACTTTCTAACACACATGTTTGATCCCTCTCCTTGTCATTAAAGATTCTAGCATTTCGTTCCTCCCACACAGTCCACACCAAAGCAGCTCTAACACATCTCCACAAAACTCTTCCTCTTCTCTTTGGCCACCTGAAAGTTGTAGGATCAAAAAGATTGCAAATCTGCACCGGTTCTATCCACCTGCACCCAAAAAGATCAAAAAGCTTTTCCCAAAGGCCTACAACAAAAGGGCAAGTGATTAGTATATGGTAGTAACTTTCCTCGTTAGCTTTGCATAGGGTGCACCAGTTAGGAGAGATACAAAGACTAGGTCTTCTTTTTTGCAAAACAGCCAAAGTGTTGATTTTCCCGAGGGAGACTTTCCAACAAAGGGCTTTAACTTTAGGAGGGACAGGTTTGGACCAAACTTCCTTGTTATGAAAAGGTTGAGGCAATGGAGATGAGCACAAGGAAGCAAAGAAGGAGGCACAAGAAAATGAACCCAAAGGTAATGGCTTCCAAATACGGGAGTCTACAGAAGGAGGGTCCAAGCAAACATAATCAATAGTTTTGAGGAGCAAAACAGCTTGGTCAAGCTCATAATCTCTTAAACCTCTTCTAAAACCCAGATTCCAGTTTATGCTAGAAGAAAAGGATGATGATAAAAATCTTTGAATTGTCTCGTTTTTAAAACACGAGATGGAATACAAGGAGGGAAAGAGGTCCTTGAGGGCACAGTCACCAATCCAAATATCCTCCCGAAACAAAACCCTATCTCCAGTACTAACATCATACTTGATCAGGTTCAGGAAAACGGAAAGAATACTATGAATAGCCTTCCATGGGGAGTTCAGCGTAGCACGCCGAGATACTTCAGCATCCCATCCATTGTCTGCAATACCATGCACACTCCTTGCCACTTTATGCCAAAGTCTCCCCCTTTCTAGAGGCCACCTCCATAGCCATTTACCTAATAATGCTGTATTTGTCTTCCTTAGATTGCCTAATCCTAATCCCCCTTGCTCCTTCCTCCTACACACTATTTCCCACCTAACCACATGATCATTCCTCCCTTCCCTTAACTCCCACAAGAAATCCCTCATGACCTTCTCTACCTTCAA